TGCCCATTGTTTTCACGTAATCGATTACCGCAATATGTACCTACCTGTCTAATGACTATTCCCACAGCAACTAATCAACTATGAATAACATACATGTCTAGGCACAAGTTATTGTTTGAAATACAAACAATGAATTTAGAAAAAAAGTAGGACACAGACGAAGACCTCTAAATGATATTCGCGAACCATCATTGTCCGTCTTGCGTCCCCTACCGGCATTGTGGCACATCTTAGCCAAACAACGAGTCCTAAGTACGAATTTAGAGTGCATAATGCTTCGGAAACTTTAGTGAATTTGCATTTTTTTTACCTCCAGTTGTAACTGTTTTGCCTTGAATAGACCAGTGGTGCCTGGAACAACTGCCATCCACGGGTGCAGCCACCTTTCTTCTAGACAATCACCTTTGCAACAGAAAAGTTGAATTACATGAATGAAGATGTCTTTACTGGCGAAAATGATTTTAGCAGCAACATCTGGTTTTTCCGGTGTACAAATGAAAGTAAATTAGCTCTGGGCTTTGGTGAAGATAGGGACATGGAGGCTGATGTCGATGTGTGACTGAATGAGTCTGGTTTTGGTGAGAATGCGAATTGCAACGGAAGGGAATGGATGAAAGCAGCTTGAATAGGAGCGTCCAACTGTGGTGAAATGGCGCGCAGTGCGATATGGATACAGCGACTTGATGACTGGGTCACCAGATTGACAACTAGGAGGACCTTGCAAGGAGACGCGTACAGTGTACTTGCATTGACTGCATCAAGGTGTGATATGGGAGAGCCGTGAATGTGCCTTGTTTCTTCGCTGTGTTGAAGATGGTGACCTCGACGGCAACGACGATGAAGAACTCGGCTGCCGAAATCTACAATGAGCGACATAATGCAGGTCGCTGCACGAACATTATCGATGCCTACTTCTCGTCTGTTTGAATTGAAATTAATTTCATTCTTGCATTCATGTGAAGCAACTTCAATGCTCAGAATTACTTTCTTCTACTTTCCGTGCCTTTGCGTTGAAGCACTGTGATTAAATTGAACCACTGAATATTGCGATGGAGGTGTGAACTCGTCATGTGACCAAATCAAATCCACACTATAATTGACAGAATTAGCATAGAATTTTGCGTGGTTGTAGAAGACTTACTTCCAGCATTGTTGTAGGTTCTGACGGTTATGGATGAGCAGTTGGCAGACCATTGTGTTGCAGCATTTGACAACGCTGCAAAGAAGGATCAATGAATCCTAGATTATAGAAGTACCAAGGCAAAAGTAACGGTAGAGATCAGCTAGGTAAATGTACAAAGAGCCCTTTCAGTTACCTGCTAAAATTGCCAAACATCGCCTTGCAAGTATTCGTCACTGCATCCTATTGCACATTCTATTTTTTTTATCAGTACGATGCTGCACCATCGGTAGTTTGACATGTATATCATTCTTAGTTGATTGCGGACATTGAAGAATACACTTTTGTGCATTTTATAAAAAAAACTTACAGTAGCCAAAGCGAATCCACGTGGTGAGACCTCAGACTCTGTCGTGTTCGTCATTGTCGTTGTCTTTGCCACCACCTTCATGTCAGCCAGCAACGAAGGCACCTTAGTTGGCACTGTTAATGATCCACCTGAGGAGTTTAGCTTTGTGCTAAACGAGGCCGGGGCCAATGCAAATAGACTTTTCAAGCGTTTTGAGAACACTGCACACATTCCTGCAAGTTTTTTTCCTAG